ATGTTTACTTATATTTTAAGTTTACAGGATTAATACGTAAAAAGAACTATCATGTTTTATTGGTCCAATAATTGTGTTGCGACTATATTGCCAATAACCCTTCTTGCCTTGGTATACTAGGTGGTAATGGCACATAGGGTTAGGTAGATGGGTCGGGGTTCGAATCTTGCAGAAGAGTGAGATTTGTTTTAATTATGTGTACTGAGGAAGAGTCCTACAGATAGAGAAATGCACAGAAAATGACAGGTTGAGGATGGGATTTCACGATGCATGGTGCTATTAATATCACTGGGGACTTGGTTGGGTATGGCTGTGTTGTTCAAGAAGGGTGGAGTTTGAAACAAGGAGCTTAGTCAAATAGAGTGGTCTGGCTTGTTCAGGAGTGAGAGTGGGTATAGCTCTCCTATCACATGGCAGTCAGGTGTAATAGCTACCATGAGGGGAATACCAGACATCTAATAGACCACCCTACAACTATCCCATTGCCTAGGGTTAATGTCTGATGTTTCCCTTGAATTGATGTCCTACAGAGGTACAACTGTGGTAGATTGCAAGAAGAGTCTGCTACTATTTGGAGAGATTTTAGTGGGTGTGAGTCTCATTTACCTGACAATCAGCATGGACAACTATGCTCTTACCTGGTGCCTACCTACTTGCTGACGTAGCAATGGTGAACCAGTGTCCAATTTGTAAGATGTTAGTTAAGATTTCCCCTGTCAGTAAACCAGTGGTCACTGGTCAGAAAGCTGTAAATTAAAACAAAACAAAACAAAAAAACAACAAAAAAAAACCTTTTGTTGCTTGGTAATATGACATCTTTATTTGGAAATTCTCAGAAGAATATGGCAGAAATAGTAATATTCACATAAAAGCCAAAATGCTACATTATAATGGTTTTTGTTGTCATTTCCATTCTTTTAACAGAGACAGTAGTAAAAGGTACTGGTGCTGTGAAGATAGGAGAATCTGCAACGCCCAATGGACAACTAGTCAGGATTTGGATAACATTACAGTCATTCAAGAAGAGAAAGGAAAACATCAGCAGAACACTGGTATTGAAGGGGGAGTAAGGAAAACCCTGCATAAGTTAAAACAACATGCAGAAGAACTAAATGTAACACCATCATAGGTACTTCAAGGAACTCTCCAAGATATTTATGATGAATAGGTCCTGTAATGCTACCAGAGAGAAACTAAAAATGGCAAGAATTCCAAACAGACATCAACTTCCAAACCTAACTTCATTGCCTAGAACTAAAATTACAAAGAAGCATAAGTAACTAGATGCAGAGAACCACTTATGCACAATTCTGGTGCCCAAAATGATGAAAGAATTCTTATTTACACAACTTAGGACAATATTCAATATTCAGGTACCAGTACATTATTCAATGATGGTACCTTCAAGACAGCACCAACAAAGTTCACTCAGTTGCTGTGCACAGTGTAGTACTGGGTTATACTATGCCATTGATTTATGCCCTTACAATGAAAAGACACGATGATACAGCTCCCTTTCTCACGTAGCAGGAAGCGGGCAGGGGAAGGGGGAGGAGATAGATCTGTATATATATACTTGCATTTGCACAGGAAAGAAATGTCATTAACCCTTCATTGTGCATGATGGATTTTAAGATTGCAAATATAAATGTGATTTGACTACTACCAAATACACAAGTAAAAAGATACTTGTTTCACAACCACTGTGGTGAAAATATCTTTTTTGGGTCTAACATGCCAAGTATAAGACAATGGAAAGTAACACTGTGACTGAAAATACATATTGTTTGGACTTCCATTTGTATCTCTGAAAGATGTAAATAAACTTTTAAGTACATTGTGGAGAATGCAGAAGGAAATTTAGATGATGTAATGGATTAAGTTGAGAAAGGGTATGTCCATGGAAGGTGTGGCAGAGGCAGAAAACCGAAGCTCCAAGATTTCCACCAGAAACTTGGAATGTTTACATATTAGTACTGAAGGGCAATCATAGGACAAACAACACAGTGGAAGGTCAGCATAGCAAATTTCAAAGATGATGGTAGTGCATCATCCTCCAATTTGGAGATTTACTAAAGCATTAAACGATAACAGCAAAGCAATAAACAAGTTATCGCCCAAGTTCTTGATAGTCACACTCAAATACAGCCACCAATTTCACAATGATACTGACAAAATCAAATTTGTATAACTGAAATTGTTAAGATATAATAAATATAAAGCCAATAATCAGGTTCATCTATTCCTGAGAGCAATGCTCATCAACTTAAGAGTAACCCTGCAGAACTTCATGACAAGGAAAAACAAGAATATGAAATCCAAAATTCATCAGGAATTACAATAAAAATAACAAATAAAATTTTCACAAAGTTAAGTGTATTATTTAACCAGACGTCCCAATGGACGTTATGGATAGGACTGACTGTCAAGGACCTTTTTAGTGTGGACCAAATGACTCACTGGACATTTTGGACAGGACCAAATATCAGGGATCTTTTGGCATGGACCAAATGCCTCAGTGGATGTTTTGGACAAGACCTGTAAGGACATGATTAAAAAGCTGTATCAAGCCAACAAGAAAAAGGGTGAATTAATCAAACAGTACAAAGACAACTGGCTACTTCTTTGGAAGAACAGTGAGTGGCTTACCTCATACCACACTTAACAAGAAACACCACAGACGGATGTATGAATAATGCAATTTTACACATCTGTTTCACACATGTCAAAAAGATACCTTCTACAGGGCTTAGTTCCAAAAGGAATTTACTTATGGTAAGACACAGCAGCACAACAAAGCAGAAACACAACTTTTAACCAGTAGAATAAATTTCTAATATTGAGCCTTTACATAGGAATTTATAGGAATCAAAAACACTGCACTGCTTATTCTCCAATGGCTCTACCCAGACCTCCTCAGTGCCTACTTGAAAATGGCATCTGGTTGAGTTCTGCAAAGGATGGCACCAGTAATTTGGTGCCACAATTCCAGTAATGACAATATCTCCTACGAGATGGCCCCTTCTCCATGAAAGCAATTCTCACGGGCCTCTGGTAACATGTTTCCATCCTTTGCCCCTTTAGGATTTA